CGGCCGGCGCGGCTGGTGTAGAACTGGAGGCCGGCCGGCGCCGGTCCGCCGGCGGCCAGCTGGCGACACCGCTCAGCTGACAGCTCGCTGATGGCGCCCTCCTCCAGCGTGTAGAACTGCTCCGATGCGGCGGGCGCGGCGGGCGCGAAAGGCGCGGCGGACGCGGCGGGCGTGGCGGACGCGGCGGGCGTGGCGGACGCGGCGTCACCGCCCAGCTCAACGATCCGACCATCCCGCACGCTGAACTGGCGCTGGCCGGCCGTGCCGGCGGCGGCGGCGCGGCGGCCGGCAGCGGCCACGTCGGCCCGGCCGCGCACGTCCCACAGACTGAGGCCGCGGGAGCGGAGCGCGCCCTGGTCCAGCGGACGCTGCTGCTGAGCAGGCCGCCCGCCGCGCCGCCGCCGGCCGGCCGCCGGCGCCTCCCGGCCGTCTCCGTCCTCCGACGCGTCGCCCTCCGACTCGGCGTCCGAGGTGTCGCTCGCTGTCGCGTCCACCGGCGCCACGCCCTCCTCTCCCGCGTCCGGGGGCCGCGCGCGCTCTTCTGTGTCCTCTGCAGCGTCTCGGATTGTTCTTTCCACATCTGCGTCTTCTTTTCCTTCGAGCTGCAGTGATTTGTTCGCCCTCGCTTTTCGTCGTGTTCACTTCCGGCATATCAGTCGCAGACACTTCGATGTCATTCCTATTGGCCGCGTTTGGTCGTCTCTTCGATCGCGCCCACGTTTTCTCCGTCCTGAGCCCATGCCCCTGGCTAACACCTCACCAGCATTCTCCCCATCATCCATAAGTGACACCTCTTCTATGCCATGCTTTCTTACATCCAGTTTTTCCCTGGGTTCCGACGAGTCCACTAAGCATTTCGACGTTGGAGCCGCGACGTCCGCCTCGCTGCTGACTGGTTCGCTGGGTTTGGCGGATTGCTCGGATGTCCCCGTTCTTGTCTTAGGGGAAAGACCTTTATCCGAGTCCGATTTGTCAGAGGTTTTGCTCTCGGTTGAGCCTTGATGCTCGTGGTTTTCGCACTGTTTGACGGCCGTCATTGACATTGTGCAATCGCCTCCGGCCACGTCCTGCGTTCCGTCTGTCGCGCTGCCGCCCTCGACAGAACGGGACCTGTGCTGCCCCCCGGTGGCGGCTGAAGCTCTGCACGCCGGCGGGCTGTCCGCGTCTTCAGCACGCGAGCCACGTCGCCTGGCCGGGGATGCCCGGCGACGGCGGCGACTAGACGAGCCCGGTGATCCTCGCCGGTCCGACGCATCCGGCGGTGATGTCTTGCGCTCCGAGGCCGAGTGACCCTGCGCCGAGGCTGCCCTGGGCGTGGCGCCGACACCAGCGGTCTTCCGTCTCGTCTTCCCTCCCCGCCGCCGGGGCTTGCGTGGCGCTGCCGCCGCGGGCGACAGACGGCCGCCCCTGGATCGGTCGGCAGACCTGTCCCTGCGCTCTCGCTCCGCACTCGGGCGCTTCGACGCAGCGCAGGCCTCCCTCGCCGACTGTCTCGCCCGCTTCTCTGCGCGGCTCACTCTTGCGCGCCGTCTGCGGGCCGGAGGCGGCGTCGACCGCCGGTCCCGCGACCTGCTCCGCGACCGGTCGCCGTACTCGTGACTGAACAGCGACACCAGGCTGAGCTCGCCCTCCGCCGGCCGCGTCGCCACCGGCGAACGGTCGCGCAGCAGATCCAGGCCCGGCCCCTCCAGCAGCGCGTCGAGGAAGTCCGGCGACGCGGCGGACCGTCGCCGGCGTCCTCGGCCCTCCGTAGGCGACCGCGCCCGGGCCGGGGCGCCGTCAGCCGGCGCCCGGGCGTCCGGTCGCCGCAGCGCCCGCATGAGCAGCGCGTGTGGGCTGACGTCCCGGCCGCCGGCGCCGGGCCGGCGGTGACCGCGCGCCGGCAGCGGGCGCCGCTCGGGCGAGCCGGCCGCCGGCGGGGTGTACGAGCGGCGCAGATAGGAGGGGCGCGCCAGACCCTCCCCCGCGGCGGCGCCGCTCAGAAGACGAGGAGCGGCGACCGTGGCTGCCGCCGGCCGCCGTCCGGCGGCGACGGCGGGCGGCCGCGGCTCGGGGCGACCCCCAACGCCCCGAACAGCCGCTCAGCGGACCGGCTTCGGTGCACCGGCGAGCTAGAGCGCCTCCGGCGGCCGTCACGTGATCTCGCGCGGGCCGGCGGCGAGTCGGACGGACGGGACCTCAGGTGGTCACGTGCCAGCGAGTGGTACGCCTCGGCGTGGTCCTCGTGACGTGACCCGGATAGTCTGCGGGACAGGCGTGTCAGCTGTGACACCAGTGGCGCAAAGACAAGCTATATATATATATATATATATATATATATATATATATATATATATATATAATGTGTGTATATGTATATATCGCATACAAGCGACGAAATACACGTCAAGTGAGAGGAATATGCAATTTGAAAAACTCGAATGATATCAAAAGCGACGTGGGGTCATAGCCATCAACGCGCAATGACTCGGACCTTCAATCAGCAGACCGATCTCGCCGATTCAAACTGCAACCAATAGCCCTGGTTCTCACGAGCCCAATGGCCTACTTTTAATAATCCTTTCGGTGACCTGAATATCAGCGATGACAAGACATATGATGACAGCGTACCATAGATGACGTCAGTGACGATTTCGACAAACTGGCGGTCATTTGTACTTCTAAGTAACAGCCTGCTCGCCAGTGAAACCGCCAAAATTGTGTTGCATCCAGACAGTGATATACAACACGGCGTAGCTGGCCTTAGGTCACTGCACCCCTGTATTGATTAGGATATCAAATAAAACCAGTTTCAACCTCAAAAACCTTCCCTGTGTCATGAGTTACGCCAAAGGTCAGGTCGATCGTGCGGAGCAAGCGAGGTCACATAATCTCTAAAAAAGCGCCAAATTGCACGTGCTGGGGCTAGAGCGACGCCGAGAATTGAGAAAACAAGCCCATAACATTGGAGTGCCTGATATGCGAAAAAACTGATTTTTCGGCATTATGACCCCTTGCGCAGAAAGCAATAGACCTAAATCTGCGTATCTTTAACGCTTTAGACAGGCGACAAAGCAGCTGATCGTTTATCGCGATGAAATCTCTGCCTAGCCGGAAGGATCTGTTTATCAGCGCATAGTACGTACCTGTCTTTCAGTTCGGCTATATCGGTCACGTGATATAGACGCACTTTACGAGCTGGGCTGTGAGACCGATCCCGACCCAGGTCAAGGTCGGAGGGACTGAGCAGCCGACCTGACCTGCCTGCAAACGAACGGAAATGTGGTCACTGATCAGGCCAAACGCGCCCTGTCATAATCAACAGCTGCAAGTGTACAAGGCTTTGGCAGCGAAGTAAGTGCAATTATGTTGTCAAGTAAATATCCTGTAACAATATTACAAAATGGCAGTTTTTGGTAGGTCTATAAAAGGCGATTATGGTTTGCTAACAGGGCATTCAAAAGTCGGAGCGATTCACCAACAGAACAATGTCTAAAACGAGGTTAAAACAATGCTTAGAGTCCACAAAACGGAGAAACGGACACGTTTAGTGGTAAGAAACACCAGTAGCACAAACAGCAAAATGTCAGGGAAGTCCCACTGTAAAACCCTTAGCAAACTTATGTTCAAGCGACTTTATTCCGGGCCAAAACAAAATCTGACTGACCAAAAGGCCGGTTGAAGACCGGTGACACCTGGCGGTCAAGGGAGTAACTGGAGCTTCCGTCCCTCTCCCACTCGGCAGCAGCTGGCTGAAACCGATCGGCCACGTCCCGCCTGCGGTGGAGACGGAGTACGATCATGTCAGTACTGAACGGAAGTCACTTGTCCCCAACCTCACGAACACTCTGCAGCGGAACGGAGACTGCAAACGTGCCTCGTGGTGCGCACCAGGACCGAGCATGTACGGTATCCGCCGGCACTGCCACGCCGCCCGGCTATCCCGTCCGACTAATCATCGGACCGCCCGCGCGACAGTCATCGGGTCAGGCAGGGGCTACATGGCGCACGCTGACTAATGGCTTACGGCGTAGCCCAGCCTTGTGGTCGGGCCGGGCGTGAGATGCGGAAAAGATCCGACCGACTTTTGAGACAAACAAGAACGGTCAAAATACTGTCTGCCGTAGTCCAACAGCAGCTAACATGGTGTCAGTAAACCACAGTCAACCTATATCGGATGAAAACTACGAGCGAAGACCGCAGATGCCACTGGCCCCTCAAGGAGCCAAGCTGGCTTAATAAAGCCACGGAGCGCGAACACCCGACCCAGCCGCCTCGTGAGCTTGATCCAACAAAGCGGCACTCACTCGGAGCGCGACACATGTTTACGAAGCTGTTTGCAAGCAAGAAGCTTGACCCGAAGTCGAGCTTCTTCCTGTGACTCTCCACATGGTGCCTCGGGTTCCACTAGGGCATAACGCTTCCACAGCCGGTGGGACATGCTGCCACTAGAGAAGCGCCAACCTGCAACACACGTCATGCGGAACATGAACACTCTTGAAGAACAGTTTTCTCACAACCCTTGCACTGAATGTTTTCTGGACGGATTTCTGAGAGTGGAGCTGATGTTGAGCAGTGTTGGTTCTGCGAACCCTGACCCCACCATCCAACCGCGTAATGCCAGTTCGACTGAAGACTAGCTTCACGTGCCGCAATGCACGACACGCTCGGTCGGCGCCGCCCACTGACTTAATCCGATGTTCAGCAGCCGCTGCCAGTCGCCGCGGGCCGTCCCGACCACGGGCAAATAGCGAGCACCGAAGCGGCTGGACCCCATCCACCCCGTCTATATTAGATCAAAAGACAGATGCTGTGGTTATCTGAGCTGCGGGCTTGCAACCGAGCGGACGGACGCGGTGTTTTGTATACAGTCCGTCTTTACAAATGCAATCCGACCAGTTTGCATGGATTGCTTTTGGTTCACTTCACGCCACTGGTCTAGATCACTGGAGATGTTAAGTCCAAAACAAAGTCCCCAAAATGTGATCACCCCTGTGCACGTAACTGCTGCCATCAACCACTGGCAGGGGCACTTAAACAAGCAAAGAAAGATGGTAGAAAACAAGCATAAGCCTAAAAATATGGTACCAGCAATTCACAATACAGCCATGCCTGATGGAAGGGGTTCAAAGATTGTTATGTAGACTAGTCCACACCCTTTGCTATGTCACCCACATGTACACCCTGCCCCTGCAGCCTTGCAGGCTTCCATCATCACAGTGCAAGAGATGAAGAGCAGCTGCAACCACCATGGACAACCTTAGACATAAGCACATCAGCTTGGAAGATGACGGCACTATGCTTAAACTACATGTCAACATTAAATCGGGCCTGGAAGTTGCCACTTTGAATGTGCTATTCAGCTTGGTTTTGGCAAACAAATACTAGAAACATATTTTTGAACATTTATGTTGAATGGTTCCAATGTTTGTCATGTTCACATTAAGTTGTGACAGAAACTACATGCTCACACAAATAACCAAGCTGTGCTGTGGATTGGGATCACCTAAATTGCAATCAATATCACCACTGTAATATCAATATCAGGCCATAAACCTTACCTATAATATGTCAAACATTTTTAAAAAGTCAGTGCAAATGATCTGAATGAGTGGATTTTCCAAATCACAGGTCATGCTAAGCAGTGCTTGTTATGTGAGCCCTAACCCCTTCTATCCCATTGTGCAATTCAAGGTAATGGGAGAAATTAGTTATGAAAGCTTAACATGGTGCAAATTTATGCTGCTTACACTTGGATGTTTCAAAACATACAAATATCCATTTTAGTATTTAAACATGTTCTCAATACCAATGCTTAGCTCAACTAGGCAACATTGGTGTGCTGCAACTAATGCTTGCTGGTGCAGAACCCAGGTCTTGTAAGCTTCCCCTGAATCTCAACACTATTGTTTGCATTAAAAACAATGCTTTAACATAATTTCCTAAAAAACCTTTTGTACATTACAGGTCCTTGAAACATTAGATCTACATTCCAAAATTAACACCAATAGTGTGCCAGATTCTTAGCAATCTGATGTACAACCTATGTGGGCCAAAATTGTTGCTTTGATGTCACTCTTATCCTGGACATGCTAACAGGAAAAATACACTTTTAGCAGTCTGAACATACCACAGGTTTTGCTTTATCTGAGGGTAATGTGAAGTCTAGAAAATTGCATTACTTCATAAGACTGTGAACTATGTCACATGCCTTAAATTCAGAAGCTGTCAATGACCAAAAACCCAGCACATGACATTATCTTATCTGCAAAAAATAGTAGTTACAATCTTACAATGACTGTGTTACAGGGCTGCAAAGAAATGACCTATGCATCCAGGCAATACTGAATACCTACAAGGCATACACATCCTCCCTGTCGTAATGGGATCTCTATGTAAGTAAGTATGCAGACATGACTTTTAACGTTACTTTTCTCTCTTAATGTCCGGAATTTGGGGTAATTTGACGCTTCCCCGGTATCATCTCCACAGGCCTCGCACTTCTTCTAAAACAGCGTGCTTAGTTAACCTAGTATAGAATTCATGCAATATTGGTATTTCCAGATAACCAATTAATTTTGGAACACTTCTGATTTGTTCACTAAGATCTACACACCACGTAAGAACACGAAAACACAGCTTTTCTCACACTGACCGCCCGATTTCAGTTCCCACCAACCAACGCGTCCGTTTGCCAGTTGATTGTGAGGATGAAGGAACAAACACTTTCAGCTGATTGTAAAATGACGTCACAAAACAAAAAGGTCACTGCCTGCCTGCCACAAAACCAAAAAGTCACCGCCTGCCAGGGTAACAGGTTTGGTCCGGACCAGGCCGGATGACACGAGACGGAATCAGACGGGATCAGATGAAACTGGACAAATCCTAACGGGATCGGACGCGATCGGGCGGGCCCGAGCGGGACTGGATGGTATCGGACGAACCGGATGGTATCAAATGGCCCCGGAAATGCCGATCCAAAGTAGACTGGATCAGGTGGTATTGGACGTTACTGAATGTAACCGGTAGAACCGGACGGGGTGGAACGGAACGGAGCGGGACCAGACGGAGGCGGACGTAATTGGATGGAGCGTGATGGGCCCGGACGGGTCCAGGCAAAATCGGAAAGGATCAGTCCGAACCGGACGAAGCGACACCGGACTACACGGTGCCGTGCGAGACCTGGTGCGATAAGGCGGGACCATATGGGACTGAACGGGACCGGAAGCGACTGGACGGGGCTGGAAAGGACTGGACAGGACTGGACGGAATCGAAAAGAACCAGACCAAACAAGACGGAGTGGACCAGACGATAGTGGGCGGGATCGGATGGAGCCAGATGCGCCCAGATGAGACCATACAGTACTGGACCAGACAACCCTGTCAGGTCCTGGCCGGTCCAGTTCTGTTCCCGTCCAGTCCTGTTCTACTGTCCCGCCCGCCCCGATTCTTGTTGTCACGTCCCTTGCCGTCCGACCCCGTCCCATTGCGTCTAGTCCTGTAAAAATCCGGTTGGGCCCCATTCAGTGTGATCCGATCGTAAGCCTCGTCCAGCTCCCTTTCGTTCAGATCCCTTTCAGTACTAGCTGAACATCTTCAAATGTCAAAACAACATCAACAAAACAAAAAACGCCAACATCAAAAGTCCGATCCCAAACATATCTTTTCTTCTTTCTTAGGAAGGAATCGTGGGTTCATGCAACTACTATGGTGCCACAACAGCATTCTCTGTGTCCTGAAAAGGCACGCTAGACAACCAGAAGTCTTTTCTAGCTCGATGGGATCATGTCGCCGACTTTCTCTGAAGTGCTCAAGGGCAAGACGCCTAATCGCGGCATCGCCAACGAAATCAACACGGCCAAATATTCAACGTGTGTATTCATGAAACTGCACCACGAATGCCGCTCGGGAAGTCGAATTGTGCTGGAGGTTAGATCGCATCTCTGCAATGCAACGATTGAAACTTGCCCTTGCGGACAGATAAATTACCAAATCTAGAAAGCTCGCGGTGTTTTGTACTCCCTGCTGTGGCTATTGAGAGCTGGCGATTAAATGAAAAAAAAAAATAACAGATAATCGGCCGACTTGGCGGACCCTGGGAAGTACATCGGTTTGCTGCCCATTCGTCACCGAGTTGCGCGACCAACTAGAGATCATAGGACATTTTTGTCGCCGTGTTGGGACGAAGGTTAAAAAAGATACCATGGTGCCGTAAAGTACGGTAAAGGGTCTGCACGGAAAGGCCTGCTGATGAAAAAGGCCTGGGATATGGTGTCTCGTTATGTCATAGCGTTATTGACACCAATCGGTCCGCCGAAGACCTTTTTAATTGGTGGCAGCGGTGAGCGGTCCATCATGGCGTCCCTGTTGGCGCTTGCTTCATCAGCGTTACGGTAGCCATGTGGACTGGAGTCTCATGACAACTGGCATGCCTCTGTGATGTGCTGCTTTCTCAGGCATTTGGAACATTCAAACATTCAAACAAGCATCAAGCAGCAGTGTCAGCATTTGGTTTCGTTGGTATCGATAGCTGTAGTCGATAATGAAGACAGCGCGTTTGATGGGGCAGCGATGTCAGCATCTCTTCAGCTCCAAGCTCCTCGAGTCGCCAGCTGAACGTCCGACCTTGACCGCCCTTGGGGAGCCGTGCGTCTTGCTGCCAACAATCACGCACTCCCCGGACGTGACTGACCTTGACCGCCCTTGAACTCATCTGGCGAGTTGTGCGGGTCTGCTTCCAACGGGTGGTCTCTCTGCCGGAGCCAACGCTAATCTCTCTCTATGGTGCTTTGAATGCGTTGCAGGGATATTTTTCAGACAATACTCCCGTCGCCGACCATGTGCAGCTCTCAAACCTGCGTCATGAGCCGTCCACTAGTTTCGATATGATGCTGATTCTGCTGTGTCATCTGCTTCAGAAAACATTTCCTCCCGACCAGGGATCAAGCAAAAATCTGTTTTACCATTACCTCTTGATGGTATAACTAGTGCAGTGCGGCCATATCCTGGTTAGCAAGGACATCTCTTTTTATGATGATGCGGTAGCCAAGGTTCGCAATATGTTGGCAGCTGAGCAGCTGCAATCGCAGCGTGTGGTGGCTGTGCAGAATGCTGTAACAGCTGGAGCTGTTGGTCAGGATTCCAATGTCGTTCTGCTGCAGCAGATTTTGGACAGGCTGTCCCTACTTGAACAGCAGCAGGCCAGAGCGCAGCGCGGTGATGTCTTAACAGCCCCAAGGTATGGCGTCACCATCTGGTGGGAGGCGATGCTTCTCTTGCGGCCAGCTGAGTCATACTCATGTCATCCGCCACCACCGGAATGCAATCTGCCATCAGCGTAGTGAGCGGGTCACATTCGCCCTGTTTGTCGAGTGCCAAAGCAGGGGAATGAGAGGAGGGAGACCTCGCACGTCCGGGAAATGTGACCACTTTCCCGAGAATCCCCCTAATAGCTGGGTTCGTGGCTGAGGGATCCGTCAGTGCTATTTCGTGTTAGTGTCTCGTTGATACGGGTTCGTCTTTCTCCCCCATGACACTTGAAATTTTCCGTAAACTGTCCGAAAGGACAATGAAACCGACCGCGATGTGTGCTGAGTCCGCCTCTTAAGCTTACATCCGCCTGCATGGCACGGCACCTGTTGACATTGGCTTGAAGCAGTTCCTGAGCACGATGCGTGCGTATGTATCTTATACTGCTAGCGCTGAATGTATTCTGGGTAGATTTCTTTGACAGGTTCAAGTGTTTCATCGGTGTCACCTCTCAGCGGATAGTGTTTCCATCGTCGGAGAGTGAGATACCTCCGGTGCAGGGGGCCTCGTCGACTCCGGACACGCCACGCTCTGGGCAGTCGAGCCAAGACATTTCATCGAACACATTCTGCTTTTCGAGTCTGTCGCGGCTCCGACCAGGTGAAGAGTGCCTAATTGAGGGGTTTCTTGAAGATAATTCCTTTAGAGGGAGCGCAGTCATGAACCGGGACGAGTTGTCCAGCGGTTTAATGATCATGCCAGTTGGTGTTCGCGCTGGCCGTCCTGTTCCCGAGCTGGTCCGTAACCTGTCAGATGAGTAACTGACGACTCATGGCAAACAGCAGGTGTGTTTCCTGGAACCGGGCTTTCATTGTGTTGAACCTGGGTCAGGCATGGCTGCCGCTCATTCTGTGCTCACTTATCAGGGCATCTTGAGTGGCATTGACCTGGCTGAGTCTCAGTTGTCAGATCCATAGCGTGGTTTGCTCTACAACACGTTATCAAAATACTCACATATGTTCGTTGGCTGTCTCAGCTTCACAACTCTAGTCACGCACATACGATTCCTCGGGGCGCGTGATCCTCCAATTAAGCAGACTTCGAGACGCGCTCCACCACACCTTCAGCCCGAAGTAAAAGTTCAAATTCAACATCTTGTCGAGCAGGGTGTCCTGGACCATGAATAAGTAGCCCTGTGCGATCAAGAGAGCACAGCAGGTTAACAGAAAGAGTAGTATTAAGTAGTAAAAGGTAAGTATTGAAGAGGCTTCCGCAAATGAGATCACAGGGAAATATCCCTTAATCAAATGAGAGGGCCGCTGAGCATCGAGTGTCTCGGTACCTTACCTTATAAGAGCCCCGGCAAAAGCACAAGGTACTCCAAGCAACTGGAAAGAACCCGATACTAATATAAAGGAGCAATTGAGCGTACCCTGGCATATGAGGCCCCGAAAAAGCGTATGAAGCCTTTCGGGCGAATGAGAGGAATATATGGAAGAAAATGTACATCGATCAAGAGTGCCCAGGCATGAAAACAGATAGCGTCCCAACAGCAGCGTTAGGCCCTTCAAGCAAATGTAAAGAGATCAAGGGCAACGTGGAAAGCTCCTTAGCGATCAGATTGGCCCAGCAAGTGGGCATATAGGGCCAGGGCAACCAACAGTGTAATGCCTCTGGACAGCGTAATAAGCCCAAAAATTTTCCCAAGCAACGCCTTCTCAATCAGCGAATAATTAGCTTCGCCTGTTCATGAGCTCTTTACTTTTGCTAACAATTGTTTCTGGTCGTCTGTAGGGCCAACACGTCCAATTTGTTGCGTTTTTGTTGTTAGAAAACTGCATCTGTTCGGCCGGTTATAGACCCCTTCGGAGCCTTTAGATCCCCTCGGTATGGTCCAGGGTGACATGGTCCCGTGCATCGCGCATGGTCTTCTGCATTCGCCACCGGACCGAGCAGCTTAATAGATGGAGCCCGCTAAGAGCATACAGCTATCCATTCAAATAAGAAATGCTTAAGACACAAGGTGTAGGGCTCCGAACGATCGAGTGTGTGTGAGCAGGTTGACATATAGGGTCCCCTTCAATAGTGCAGGGCTCTCCATTCAAATCAGAATTACCCGAGACCCGATGTAGAGGGGCCCTGAACAATCGAGTGTGCCCGAGCAGGTTAACACATAGAGTCTCCGTCAAGGGCGAAGGGCCCTCCATTTGAATAAGAAATACCCAAGACCCAATGTAGAGGGCCCCTGAATGTTCGAGTGTACCCGAGCGTGTTAACAGACAGGGCTCCCAATAATAGGGAAGGACCCTTCATTAAAAAAGAAAGCACTCAAGACGCTATGTAAATGCCCCCAAATGATCGAATATGCTCAAGCAGCTTTATATATATGCAATATGCAAAGCCCTCCATTCAAATAAAAAGTATCCGGAACCCAG